CCCCAAAACCCCAAAACCCCAAAACCCCATTTGGGGGTTTAGGAATTGAGTTAACCATCATTTTTTAATTTATTTCTAATTAATTGAACCTTTTTAGAGGCAGCTTATATTGTGTGTTTGGTGTTACAATAGTGATGGAAACTTTAAGTACAGAAAAGGGTAAAGACACTTTTGGGGAAAAAGGAGGAGCTTTGGATTCAGTGAAAACAGAGGACCAACATGAAATAATAGAAATTTCAGATTCATCAGATAAGTGCACTCTAGATCAACCTCCCACAGAGAACACACAAGCAACGGAAGATAGTTATCCCTATCCTTGTGGTAAGAACTTAAAAGTGCACAAAACATTGAACTTTCATAATCACATAAACTTAACAAAGATATGGAATGAAAACAAGGTTACTTCTAATAACTACCGGTATTGCTTCCAGCCAGAAGGGAACCAGATTCCCAAAGTGATTAACATAGGATATCTCGAATGGATTCTTAGAATTAGAGATGAGCCAAGCATCCTAGTTCCCTTCACGAATCGAGTGATCACCACAAAACCTCCAAAAATGGGGAAGACTTCAAAAGAAGAAGACCAAGCAATGTGGCCTCCCAATGAAGGAGGTCCTAAAGGAATCCTTAAGAGAAGAGAATTGCTAATCGATAACGAAATGATTGTGGCCAAAGTCAGAGATGATATCAAGAAACAGATTCAACATGAGCAGCAGCTCAGAGAAAGGATAGAAGATATCAGGAATGAAGAAATAGCACAGAAATTAGAGATGTCACCGAATACAAAGAAGAAAGTCACGTTCTCAACCTCTGCCAAAGGAGGAAACTCTGAAGGCGATTTATGCTCTGAGAATTTGAGTGACAACTGTGCTATTATTTCAGATACCGATGATACTTCAAGTGAGATTGGTATTAATACTACAGAAGATGAGAGCAGTAAAGATCAAGAAATGGCATCTGAAGATACATCAAAAGAAATGGCATCTGAAGATACATCAAAAGAATCAGAATATGAAAGTGATGGTCAAGAAGAAATTGATTGAGATTTAGAAATAGATGAAAGATATAAACCAGACTGGATAGATAAAGCAGATAAAATAGCTGAAAACAGGATGAGATATAATGCTCATAATGCGAGAGAGATAAAAATAAACTCAAACTCATTTATTTGGAACAGAAAAATACTCAAAAGCAATATAAAGGGCAGATTTGTAGCACAAAAATCATTCCAACAAATCTAAACTATGAAAAAGTGTTGCTCTTGGACGAAAACTTTGAGAAGGATTATGATTATTTTAGAAAGATAATGTTTGACAAATCCCCCAAAATAACAGATCAATTTTGAAACTTCCTCGATGAAAATTTCCAAACCCTCAAAGCTCTTCGCTCACTTGTATTCCAGTATAAAGGATTCCTGTATGTAGAGCATCATGGATTATGGGATAGAATTTGAGAAGATCTCAAGTTGCAGGAAGGATGTGATTTCAATGCAGCTCAAGCGGCTAAAATTTACAAGCAATACTTCTATCTCTATGATACCTTGAAAGTCTACAGGTTAGACAGGAACTATTACTGCTTCATCCAAAACTATGACCAGAACTTTATGACTACGGGCAGAACCCTGAACCTCCCATTGGACTTTAGAGTGAATAACACTTATCAGAAATCAGAGGAAATTTTCCAGAAGAATTGAGAGGAGTTTCAGCTATTATATCTAACAGAAAAATGAACTGTAAGGTACCAGAACTTCTGATCTACCTTCATGGTCGATCAGGATGTGTTTTCAATATCCAAGATCATCAAAAGCTCGGGAAGGAATAAAATATGAATGGCACACTTTGTCAAGAGACCAAAGGATGAGAAGATGAGATTTGCGAAGCCTTTCCAGACAGATTATCTCATTGATAGTTTAAGAGTGTTAATCGCTGATAAATATGAGCTAGGCTCTCAGTCTGAACTCATCGATGCGGAAGAAGGTGAGATATTTAAGGAAATAGAAATACCCATAGATGGAGGGTCAGACATTATCAAACATATGGATAGCCATTTCCCTCATTGAATCCTTCCATGGAGAAGTATGCTGAAGTGAGCTAATGAAGAAGTTGTTGGAGTGAATAAACCAGAAATATTATACAGTGACCCAAAATTCATTCAGACATGGAAGAAAGGATATAGAGGTTTAACTGAATTTTACTTAAATATCTCACAAACTCCGATATGCTTTTTGATCGTGAAAGTTGGAAAGAATCGAAGCTTTGAAGACATTATTGATAGACTAGGATGAACCATTGATGATGAGGAGGAAGAGCAAAAATTAGGAAGAAAGAGGGCGAAGAAGTGAGAAGATTCAGATTTGCAGTATGTTTTAGACCCTTTTGAACTAAGAGATGCTAAATATAATCTGGAAATATGCCCCCATTTCTTTGCTTCTCATAGATGTGAAGTCTCTATTTTTCAGTTAGGGAAAGGAGAGCTACTTTCAATAAGATCAGGGTATTATTATCAATATTTTATTCCCTCTGGGCCAGGTATGAGAGCTTCAACAATGCTCCATTGGCATTCACTGATTCACAGACATGAAGAGATTGAGACTTTCATATCTCAGTGTTCTTCCCCTCTAAAGTCAGAGCCTCCATGAAACCTTGGTGGGTTAAAAACTTTGATTAACTTTGCAAACACTCATGCTTATATATCATACAAGAACCCACTGAAATTTTACAGAAGGATCGTCCAAGAAGCAGTAAAGAAGGAATATAAAGAAAGGAAGGAATTACTATCTTACTATTGTAAAGCAATCGAGAGGAGATATGAAAAGCATTTTACAGAGAAAGAAGAAGCAGAACAAAAGGCAAAGGAAGATGCTGAAAGAAAAGCAAATCTAAAGGCATTAGAAGTCCTGCAAGATACAAAGCAAACAAATATGGGGACACAGGATGTAGAGATGACTGACAAAGATAAGAGTAATGACGAGCCTAAGGATAGTAAAACTGGCCAAAAGGAACTTACAAGAAAAGGGTTTAGAATCAAGGAGTGATACGTTTGCTCTACTACCATAGCTGAATTTGAAGATAACCCGTTGCTAAAATGGAGATATCCAATCTTCGAATACACCAAAAATCCTCATAAAGCAAGATTTTGTCAATTATGTAACAAAGAAATTGTTATATACTTCCTGAGGCTGGTGAAGTGCGCTAAGATAAGGTCTGAGATGGAGGTCCATTACATCTCATGAATTAACTGAGGAATAGAGAAAGCCATCCACAACCGTAATTCAGATTTTAGAATCATGGAGTTTTTGAAAAGAATGAGCGTAAGAAAGCTAATGCACTTTGGCTGAATAGCACTTGTTATTGATGAGAAAGATATAGATAGGGAGAAATCCTTGGACTTTAGCTATAATATGACAAGACAAGAGCTGAAAAGGTACGAGTTGATGAAGCTATATGACCCTGATGAAAACTTGACTATAAATAAGAAAGAGATCATCGAGAGTGAATCAGACTCTTGAGATGATAAGACTAAGCATAGAGAATTGCATGAGGACATAGAGTTTAAGAGTATATTCTTTATGAATAGTCAGGTCCCAATCTTTTTGAAAAGAGACCAAATGGAGAAAGAGATCTTCTTAAATGTTGAAAGCAATCTCAATGAAAAGATGCATGTGAATCTTGGGATATTCTTATCAGCTGCTACTCTGGCCAAAAACAACAAAGAAAAGAAGGATCAAAAGAAAGCCAAAAAGGAGGAAAAAGGGAAATCAGACAAAGATATTTGAATATACAAACCCAAAAAATGAGCAAAACAAGAGATCAAGCAAGATGCAAAAATGGAAGTCAAAACTTCTTCACAAGATCTTAATGAAAACCTAAAGCAAGAATTACTAAAAAAAGAGGTAAAATTAGAAATTCCAGACATGACAGCCAAGAAGAGAGAAGAGAAGAAGCAGAATGAAATTGACGATAAAGAACCAGAACTGGAGCTTTGAATCAATAGTTTTTCAGATTATCTCCAATCACTCGACAATTTTGAGGAAGCGTTTGATTACAGAGACAATCATTTAATAGAATACCTGAATGCCTTATGTGAGGTAGAGTTCACCCCAAAATGATTAGAGTTCAGAAGTGTCAAAAAATTAGCCAGGATTATCTCTCGAATAAACAATCTGGAAGGTGCAATCAAGGTGTATTCAAAACCAGCAAGGAGGATTATGAAGAAGCTCAGAAGCCTCAAGAGAAAATAGGGGGTTCTTACTAGTATAATTTCAATAAAAGTCTGACTACTAGGGGTTTTGGGGTTTTGGGGTTTTGGGGTTTTGGGG